ATTTTAAAGGGCATCCATTATTTTCTCAGAAAAACAATTCACTCCAAATACAATTGTTTTTTGATGAATTTGAAACGGCAAATCCACTTGGATCAAAACATGGTATCCACAAGATTGGAAGTATGTACTTTATTCTGCGAAACTTTTCTCCAAAGATAAATTCTGCTCTGATGAATATTCACCTAATATCACTTTTTCATAGTGACGATTTAAAAAAGTATGGATTTCAAAGAGTCTTGGAGCCGATGTTAAGTGATTTGAAAATTTTGGAGACAAAAGGTATTGAAGTTCCTCCTTTCAATGGCCCTATTTATGGTACAATTGCTCAGATAACTGGAGATAATCTGGGGCTGCACGCATTTCTTGGGTATGTTCAGTCTTTCAGTGCAAACTATTATTGCCGTTTTTGTCTAACAGATAAGGACATGTGCCAAACTATTTTCTCTGATGATGATGCAAACATAACATTACGTTGCAAAGAACTGCATGCTCAGCACTGCAAAGATGTTGAAGACCCTACCATCAATTCATCCTTTGGAGTTAAGCAAAAATGTGTGCTAAATGATCTGAAGTACTTCAATGTTTCTGATAATTATGCTGTCGACATAATGCATGATGTACTTGAAGGAGTGGCACAATTTGAGATCAAACTTCTTTTAGGGATCTTTGTGGAAAAAAAACTCTTGACGCCGCAGGATATTAGAAACAGGATGTATGCTTACAACTTTGGTTATGTGGAAAGGAAGAACCGTCCAACTAGGATCAATCTGGAGCAAACTGGAAATGGTATTGGCCTCAATGCCATACAAACATTTTGTCTAGTTCGAAATGTGCCTTTACTTTTTGGTGATGTAGTGGAAGAAGGGGACTCTCACTGGCGACTTCTTTTGCTTTTATTACAAATCATAAACATAATATTCTCCCCTAAAATAACCGAGGGTATGACTATCTTCCTAAAGCATCTCATTGTGGAACATCATAGTCTTTTTAAAATATTGTATCCCAATAGAAATTTGATCCCAAAACATCATTTTATGATCCATTATCCTAGAGTTATACGAAAAATGGGCCCTATTCTGTATTTTTGGGCAATGCGTTTTGAAGCCAAGCATCGTTTTTTTAAGAACACCATAAAAAACTTCAAGAACATAACAAAATCTTTAGCCCAAATACACCAAATGTCCATTGCATTTCATTGGCAATCGTCACCATTTAAAAGTATTGATTGTGGGCCTGTGAAATCTGTCATACTTGAGAACTTGAGTAATGGTGAACTCATTGCTGACTGTTTACACATAGAGCTGGACTCTCAAATAGATGTCACCTCTTGGGTCACTTGTTTTGGTACAGAATATCGTTCTGGTCTTATGGTCTGTTCTACAATTGAAGAAGGAATGCCAGTGTTCGCTCAAATTAAAGACATTGTGTTGTTGCTGATCAGTTTCATCTTGTAACAGTGGATTTTGTGACTCTAGGATTTGCAGAACATTTTCATTCCTACCATGTGTCAGAATCTGATATGGTACATGCGTTGCTGCTTAAAGTTGATCAGCTGCAATTCTTTAAGCCATTTGATTTGCAGACAACTTATGGCTTTGACAATAACGATTATTATGTTGTTCCTGTTCATGTATTTTTGTGATACAGTAGCACTTTCATGCTCAGCAGAAAACGATTGTCATACTAATATTGCAGTTTTCAAATAAATGACAATCCATTTCAATGCAGTTTTTTCCTTATTTGATTTTACTAAAAGATTTGTGTTCCAATTATTTTGTTTCACATGAATTACCTTTGCATTTTACTATTTGCAGTGACCAACCAACACCAAGTTGGGTAAAAAAGGGATTTTGAAAGAGGTAATCAACACTAGAATAGATTACATTATTACCCCTTACAGTGTCTAATTGACACTTACTATTGATTTCACCATTTACACTTAATAGAGGCAAAATAACACTGGATTAACTCCAGGTGTTAATTCTTGGTGTTAATATATTAACACTGTGAGATTATAAATATACTCTGTGTTTGGTGTTAAAAAAAAAACTCTTTGAAGAGTGTTAAATGTACTCAAAACTCTTGGACCCAAATACACACCGAGATTGGTGTTAAATGTACTCCTAAAGTGTAAAATATACACTGTCGGATTTGCTGTGATGAAGGTTGCAAGCCTGTTTGGTTCAACTTATCTTTGTGAATCAGCCTTTTCTGACATGAACTTCATCAAGAACAAACACAGAACACGCCTAACTGATGCACATCTGCAAGACTCACTCAGAGTTGCAGTGTCAAGTTACACACCAGAGTACAACACACTAGTTAACAGCATGCAATGCCAGGTTTCCCACTAACTGACAAAGAAACAGATTTCAAAGTGTGACATGATTTATTTAAAAATTTGAGAGTAGACTTTTGTATTTTACATGAGTTATTATTTGTACAAACAGGGTGCAAAGTAATTCATGATTTGTTAAAAAAATGTTAGTTAGCTGTGTTAGGCTATGTTGTTGGCTAGCTTCTTAAAATGGGATATTGTGATTTCACAAGACTGTCTTAGAAGTGATCATTTGAAAATGTTCAATTTGAAAAATGTGCACTTGAAGAAAATGTAAAAATAAAGTGTTGCATATTGATATTTATCTGTTTCTATATATATATATTTATAGTAAGAAATTATTAAGATGATCAATGTTTCCACAAAATAAATATAATTATTAAGAATTATAATTGAGCAAATTGGCTATTTCTGGCAATTTATTTAAGTGTGTAAAACTGGTAGCCCTTCGCATTCATCAGTACCCAAGAAGTAGCTCTTGGTTTCAAAAAGGTTGGTGACCCCTGATTTATCCTTTAGCATAAGCCTTTTGACAAACTATTTAGGCTGTAATTCATGTTAAACCTGTTATAGCTCTTTTTGAAAATAAGAAAAGTTAAAACAGTGGTCTGGACAGAGCATAGGGAAGTTTTTGCAGCAAAATAACACATTACTTATCTATTCATCCTCTGTGTTTCATTGCATTTCTAAGTAACACAAGACGATACTGATTAGACAAGAAGAAACAGTAACATGGATTTTGAGACAAGACGAGTTTCACTGCCATTATTTAAAAAAGTAAATGGAAAAGCAGTCATAGAGCTCAGCCCTCCAACAAGAGGATCTACTCCTGAAAACTACTGTGGCCATACTTGCAAGTGAAAGCCAGATCCTGTCAGACCTCTGAAGCTAAGCATGGGCCTGGTCAGTACTAGGGGTGGGAACCTAAGGGTACCTCACGATACGATACGATACATGATACAAAGCTCACGATAACGATAATATCACAATAACGATGTTACGATAAAGATGTTATCACGATATGACGATTATTGATATATTGATCAGAATTATACAATATGCCAATTTATGGCATAAATAAAAGAAAAAATACTTTTTATTTCATAATAAATAGAATGGAGATGCGTAATGTAGCCATTTATTAAGTATTAATACCAATTTAAAAATAAAAAAAATAATATATTTTCTTTTTTTCAAAATTGATATTGATACTTGGCAAATGCATATTGATAATCGAATCGCGATATATTGAAAAATCGATATATCGTCACACCCCTAGTCAGTACTGTGATGGGAGACCTCTGGGAACCCCAGGTGCCACAGTGTGGCGGCTGCAGCTGTAAAGTGCCAAACTGTGGTTGTGTCCTGAGGCAAGACACTTCACCCACAACATACTGGTTGCCTCGCTTCTGTCAGTGTGCCCTAGGACAGCTGTGGCTACAAAAGTAGTTTATTACCACGGTGTATGGAGTGAAAGAATAATGACATGTGAAGCGTCTTTGAGTGTCCTGAAAAGCACTATATAAAACTGATGCATTATCATTATTGTGATATTTCTCTCTCCAGAAGCCCGACGCGTTCTCTCTCTGCTGTGAATGGTTCCTTTGGATAATGTTCCACACAGAATGTCATGAAACAAATCTATTGCTATTGAATCACTCTCATGACGTCAAATATATTTATATATACAGTATATAATATATGTTGTTTACATAAAGGTTTCCACCGTTCGTAAACATGGCACCTGATTTACATATAACACAGTACAACATTGACTGATCCACATTTCACCAGATATTAACAACGTTCCATTCAAGTGGACACACCTCCATATAAGCACTAAGTTTTAGCTTTTAGATATTAAATGACCTAAGTCCACAAATGTATTCAGTGAGGCGTTGCTGTTTGCTCTGAGGGCTTTGTCCATCCATATGTTTAGTTTAGGAATAGAGCTGTGGGGGCCAGTCCTTAATACTCTGAGGACACACCTGTTGAGCACAGTATAAAGACACTGGTCTGGACACAGTCAGACAGTCCAACGCCTGGTGCTCTGAACCACAATGAAGCTCAACATGACATGACAGAGCCTCTGTGCTCCTGCTGCTGCTGGTGGCCTCTCAGTAGAGTTTCGTTCGGGCCTGAAAAATGAAGCCCGACCCGGCCCGAGCCCGCTAATGTAAAGCCCGAGCCCGTATAAGCCCGACCAATGAACGCTGTATAATAGGCCCGAGCTCGACAGAACCCGACACATCTGATTTCCTTGTTGTACGCACTCACCTTCCAATTGCAAGTTTAGTCTCCACTTTTGAATTTGTTTTGTCTCCACTTGATCCATTTCTACTATTGTTCCTGTTCGCTGTTGACCACAGCATGCAGCAGGAGACACGGGGATGATGCGTTCACGGCTCGCTGCTGCTGTAGGACACGCTGGTTACGGTGTCATTAATATATTAACTTTTTTTAATGATTGTTTGTCAATCAACGGACATTGTTATTAATATATATATATATATATATATATATATATATATATATATATATATATATATATATGCATATCATTATATATAAAAATCATTAAAAAATAATTATAATAATAATAAACATATAATTTAAAAAAAGAAGCCCGAGCCCGGCCCGAACCCGACAGCTGAGCGCCAAAATGAGGCCCGAGCCCGGCCCGAACTCAGGTCGGGCCTCGGGCCTGCTCGGGCTCGGGCTGAAAAGCGAAACTCAGAGCCAGGCTCTGCCTGTCCCAGACACTGAAGACCTGCTCCCACAGGACGAGAACACTGAAGACCTGCTCCCACAACAGGAGAACACTGAAGACCTGCTCCCACAGAAGGAGAACGCTGAAGGCAATGGCATTGAAAACGACACTGAGGACATCGGAGAGAAGATCTTGGCATCAAACAACCACTCAGCCGCATTCCTTGAAGAAGGAGACCTGTTGCCTTCTAAAAAAAGGAACGCCATCAAGTGTAGGTACAACAGCTGCCGCTGGCCCAAAGGCTCTGATGGCCTGGTCTCAATCCCCTACACTGTGAGCCGTGCCTTCAATTCTTATGAGAATCGAATGATCGAAGGCGCTCTGGGAGGCTTTGCATCCAAAACTTGCATCCGCTTTGTCCCCCGTCGCAGCGAGAGAGACTTCATCCGCGTTGAGAACCGAGCAGGCTGTTTCTCTTCTCTGGGGAAACAGGGCGGGCGCCAGGTGCTGTCACTCAATAAAAATGGTTGTGTTTACACTGCCATTATCCAGCATGAGTTCAACCACGCTCTGGGCTTCAAGCACGAGTAGAAAAGGAGCGACCGCGACCAATACGTCCGCATCAACTGGAACAATATTAAATCTAACATGGCCTACAATTTTGATAAATCTGACACCAACAACTTGAACACGCCTTACGACTACACCTTTCTGATGCACTACTCAAGTAAAGCCTTCAGCAAGAACGGCCGTGACACCATCTCTCCCCTCTCTCGTCGCCCAGTCAAGCTGGGACAGACTCGAGGTCTGTCCCACTCCGACATCAAGAGGATCAACATACTCTACGGCTGCTAACTACTGACAGTGATTCATGTGATCATAACTATGTTACCATTCAACCAAGTTGAGTCACTGTTTTGTTGAATTGATTAAAATTAAATGTGTCCTCAATATACAAATACAAACTAGGAATGTAACAAGTTAATCAATCACAACTACTTGATTATTGGAATAGTTATTGCTAAGATATTTAATGACCTTTTTTTCTTTAGAAAGATTATAACATGCTGAGAAGAGGTTTTATCACTCAAATCATTTTTTATTGATAAAAAAGAGGGCCTAACATGGACACTACGATATCCAGTGTTTACCTTGTTCAAGGTCTATCTATAGGTCATACATTGTTACTTTTTTAACATGGTGTTATATTAAACAAATTGGCAGGAAAATAATTTAAGGTTCTTTGGATTGAGTCAATAGTGGACCACAGGAAGAGTCAAGTAGGCTGATTTATAGATTTATGATTGGATCAATACTTTTTAAATAGACAAAAATGCGTGATTAGATTTTTTTCCAGATAAAAGGGATATTTACTCCCATTCACTTAAGTCAAGGGTTCCCACACTTCATCAAACTAGGATCTACTTTTACACACACCATTTAGCCGTGATCTACCACGGCTTTATATATGTTACAATAACGTTTTGTTTAAAAAAAAAAAAGACACCTCCATCCTCCTCCCTCACTTTCCCCTGCCCCTCTTATTTTTAACAGATAAAAACGTTATCAATGACATTTATCTACATTGGTATCTTTCACTTATAATAATGCATCGGTTTTTATAGTGCTTTTCTGGACACTCAAAGACGCTTTACATGTCATTATTCATTCACTCCATACACGGTGGTGATAAACTACTACTGTAGCCACAGCTGCCCTGGGGCACACTGACATAAGCGAGGCAACCAGTATGCGCCATCGGCCCCTCCGACCACCACCAACCATTCACACACACACCAGACTCATTCTAGGCAATGGGGGTAAAGTGTCTTGCCTAAGGACACAACGGCAGTTTGGCATTTTACAGCCGCCCCACTGTGGCTGGTGTTCCCGCAGAGGTTAAGTGTCTTGCCAAGGACACAACGACAGCAGACAGTGGGAGTCGATGGTGAAGGTTGGGCCTCTGGCTCAAAGGCCAATGCTCGACCAACTGAGCTACTGTCGCCCACTTATGGACCAATGGCTCTATCTTTTTGTTATCATTGCATTTATTTTGTTGAGTTGTTTGATTCTCGTCTGTGTTGACGAATCGACAGCTTTGCAAAGTCCTCCCAGATAACTATTGTTGAAATTTAGGGCAATACAGAAGTAATAATAACAAAATGAGCTGTAAGAATAACTCCACAATTGTGTTTCTTCCTTTGAAAGATGTTGAAACTGTTTACTGTCATTTATCTGTCAGTGGGAAGATATTGTAAGTTACCAGTTTTTGGCTCTCCCAACTTTCCCAATGCCCAATGCCCAACGACTAAACATGGCTAATAAACTGAAAAGTTGGATTGTAATTGTTATGACATCTGACCACTGCGCACAATCGATACAAAAGAGTGAGATGACAGCGGTGACACTGTCCTGAAGAGACCGGAGCCACCAGCTCCTGTGCCTGCAATCATCAAATAAAAGTCAGATGAAAAGCATTTTGTTTTGGTTATATTAAGTGTTTGCCAGACGCTGACTAAATAGACACTGGTTCAAGGTTATTACTAAAGACTTGTCTGAGTACCTGCGTGCACGGCCAGAGTACAGCCCAGCCCAGCCAAGCCAGAAATACTTGAATTAATCATCCTTTCTGTTTCTCTGCTTTTATTGGGGTCCTTTGCATTGCCTTAATAAGTACCAGTACCTTCACATTCATTGGATTGTAATGAATTAATGTCATACTGTATATCTTATAAACTACAGACGTTGTCCTCTACTTACTGGATTTTTACATCGCACATTTTCCACTCTATCATCTATAATAAGCATGGCCTTTTATATTTTCTTACACTTGGTTTTGGCCGATAGGGCCTAGTCTGCAGAGGTAGCAGCTCCCAATGTTCAAATCCAAGTGTTGTTGCGTTCCAACTCGTCTCCAGACCCTTCAGTAGACACTGATTACCAGAATAACCAAAAGGCTTTTATATAATTCCGCTCATTATCTGTTGAAAATCCAAGATGGAAGTCATTTCTGATACACCCATTGGTCATAAAAGCATTTTCACTCAGTAACTGAATATACTGATCTGCATTGAATGAATGTATATAGAAAATATTATATGGTCTCTCTCTAGTCTCAACATCTTTCAAAATAACACTTTTTGTAATTTCCCGTTAACCAACAGAATCTCACCTTAATCCTTCATTTTACAGTGAAAAAACATGCAAAATCAATCGAAAAACAATTCAAAATTATAGATCGTAGCAAGCCACGAAACAAGCCACCCCAATCTCCATTCTTCCACAGAAATGGTAACTGCCGCACTTTTGTTGACTCTATGCCTTTAGAATTAATCAGCTGCTTTTGAATAACCACAGGCTATACACAAATTAGACAGGCTGCACTTTCTCTGCACTTTTTCTCTCCAATAAGCCGTGTGCCTCGGAGCCAGCCATCACCATCCGACAACTGATGCAAGAAGAACGCGCCGCTGCCGAATGTTTATCTCCGCTGCGCCGCTGCCAAATGTTTATCTCCGCTGCACTTCTTGTTGAAGATATGATTGATGCGCGTGGAGAAAGCCGCTGGATTTAGTGTTCTTCTGGAGACGGAGAGCTTTTTACGAGGTTGTGATTTGAGTGCAGGCCGTTTGTAGCCCCCAAAGTGGCAATGGTGTTTCTCTGCACGGATGCAAGGCCACGGTCCTCGTTCTACAGCCTGAGTCCTGCATCTAAAGCCCATCCGTCTGTGAAAGCAGATTCCTCCCTCATTGTGGGTCTCACTGAGGTTTTTCACTTTATCTCTCTCTCAATGCTTTCTCTCTCACTGGTGTCTCTCTCTGGTCTCTCTCTGATCCCTCCCTAGTCTCTTTCTCTCAATGGAAGCTCTCTCTGGTCTCTCTGTTCTCTTTATCACTGGTCTCTCTCTCTCTCTAAATGATGTCTCTCTGTCTTTGGTCTCTCTCGGGTCTCTTTTTTCACTGAGTTTACAGTTGTTCCTTCAGGAGGGTCTAAGGACAGTGGTGATGATCCAGGACACTCAACATTCAACAAAATGTGTGGAAATTAAGATTAAGATAAAGAATTTGTTCGTTTATTCGTCCCATGGTGCGGATATTTCAGTGTGGCCTCACAAGTTACAGTACAGACAGTAGGTTACATGTTTCTTATTGGGGATGGACCTAAAATCAACTATTCAACTTTATTTTGACTTCATATCTCTGGTTTTGTTGTACTTTAGTTTGACTTCCTGTCCCGTTCATCTGTGTTGATTGTCTGCCCCGCCCTAATGTGTCTTAACTGTGTCTCTCTTGTCTATTTGTACCTGTGTCCATGTGTGTATACTGTATGTACCTGTTCTCCCACTTGTTGCTGGTCCATTGTCTTTGTTTGTCCTCGTCTGTCATTTTCTTGGTTCTCGTGTTTCATTTGCCGTTTTAAGTTTTAAGAGAAAGAAAACGCCTACTCCTGCGAGTGAAGGACCCTTTAGTAGAATATGTCCTTTACAACCACTTACTGTTCTTATCCCACATATCTTACACTCCAAAAACCCCCCCCACTTTCTTTTACCTGTCATTTTAACTATATCCATTACTGCATGAGTGCGACTTCCCCCTCTCCAGACACCTCTGCTCGCACAGTATAGAATATTACTGATGATATCGTGAAGCTAATACTCTACTGAAGAAGAACTCGGAAAAAAAACTTTTGTCCTGTTAGTTGGAATCCCCGTCACTTTGCTTCATGCTAATTGTTGGGTCTCACTGCATTAGGACCTTGCTTCAAAACAGGTCCTAATTGGTATTCCAGGCCCAAAGTGCGTCCTCTCTCTCAGTTTAGAGTCAAATGAGCTAAATGATTGCCCTGAAGTCTGCCAATGTTTCAGTCCTCTCTTCACTCCATCACCGTGGACAATCAATGGAGCAACACGGAAGATTTGGGCAAGTATTTTACACATAACAAATATAATGTATTAAGATTGCTTCCGACAGATATCTCTTGTTCAGTCAGGGACAAACAGAGACTACAGCGCATTGTGCGCTCTGCAGAGGAAGTGATCGGCCGCAGCCTTCCATCGCTGCAGGACCTGTACGTTGCCCGAGCTCGAGGCCGGGCTGGTCGTATCACAGCCGACCCCTCTCACCCTGCACATGGACTATTCCAACCACTCCCCTCAGGCAGGAGGCTGCGGTCCATCAGGACTAGAACCTCCCGCCACAAGAACAGTTTCTTCCCCTCTGCTGTTGGACTCTTGAACAATTCTTAACCTGTCCCCCCACCCTTTATAAAGTCACTTTACTGCCCATCATACGTCACTTTACTTCACTGTACTGCTGTCACCTTATATTGTGTGCACCTGTTGTGTGCACTTGTATATTGTAAATAGTAACTGTAACTCTATTTTGAATTTAAATGTATTCTTTATAAGTGTTTTTTATTGTTATTTTTATTATCTCTTTCTGACTGTTGCACTGAGCCAAAGCAATTTCCAAGTCTGTGACCTCCTGTTACTTATGTGGAAATAAAAATGATTCTGATTCTGATTGTTGCTACAACCATGTAAAAATTATCATTATTTATTTTGTCTTTCTGTAGGTGTTACTGGAGACATT